GGTCCGGCTATGAGCGAGAGCCAACTTGCATCAACGTGCAGGTGGAGGATGGCGCATCGGCTGAGATGTCCTTGCAATACACTCATCAATCGGTGTATCTCGCTGTCGAAGGGCAGGGGCACAAGGTCCAAAATGATTGTGAGAGGTGCCGACTGTGATCGTTGGAGGAACACCTCTGTCCGTCGAATGAAGACCGGAAGCTGTGCATGGGAAGGGTGGGCGATAATGCGGCGATCGAGGACCAGATTTGACCAAGCAGCGGGGGTGTTTAGGAGGACGTTGCGCCAGTGTCTACTGACCGCGGAGACCTTTTCTGGCAAGAGAACGTCCTCGGCAGCACCCAGTTCGAAGATGTATGCCAGGATATCATCGACTATCCGCCGTATAGGAGCATCTCTTGCTAAAATATGTGCTCGCTGCTTCTCTAAAAGATCGAGATCTCTCTGAAGCAGCAGCCTCTTTGCATCTAGAGCTGCAACCTCCGACCTGGGGGGAAAAAGTCAGTTGGAAATGATCGTTAAAATTTCGACAATAGATATAAGCATAGAATACACGGCATCACGTTTGAAACGCGGAGACGGATACTCGAGCGGGATTCGAAACAAGGGGGAGGGAAGTGTGGCACTCACGAAAGAGCCATTGAACGGACTCTCAACCACCAGAAAAGGCCGATTCACGGTTGTAGCAGCTGGTTATAGATGTGAGATGGGGGTACTGGGAGAGGAGGTGGTGGGAGAGCGTTGGAGAGACCCGGAGGGGGAAGGTTCAAGTCGTATCGACGGCTAGCCGTGTGGTGACTGGCCCATTTAGATCGTTTCAGAACGAGTTTGCTTGTACAAGCAGGAGCGACCATAAGCAGTGGACGAAGTTCAGGGCCACAGATGGCGACCCTTCAAGTTGGACAGCGGTTCTCTGGTCAATCAGCAGACCATTCCCGATTGCGTCAATTGGCCGTGGATTCAATATCTCATTCTCTTTTATCAAATCACGCTTAATCAGAAGACAGCTTAGGGAGACATGGCTGCCTACGTAACTTCGACGTCTGTGTGAATTCATCAAGGTAATTACAGACAGGTCGGCCAGGACTGGATCCACATACGACGCAAGTACAGTGGTGGAACGAAAGGGAAGCAGTAATAAAGTAATAGATATACCCATATCATAAACCCGTGTCTCATGGGATGCTGGAATAGAATGTACACTATATGCTAGAAGTGATGAGGTCGAAATGAACGGCACAAGCATTCTTGGGCATGTTCATCATTACTCCTTTTGGTAAAGAGTGGGAGGACGGACATAAGGGACGAAAAGTCGGATCGGCCAGAGAGCCCCTATTTGTGCAAGAGCTCAAAACCATCCTCTGAAGCGGCCATAATCTTGAGTCCAGCAAACAAGCATGCAACACCAACCAGAGTTTGGACACTTCCCACGGTACTTCTAGCCAGCAGTGCGCTAGCAACAAAGACGAGGAACATGGCTATTGTATTGGGATGGGTCACGACCCAGCGGTGAGCATCGCATGAGAACGAGTTTAATTTATTCCAAATTGTCGGATTTGCTTGTATGTCGGTATCGGGGTGCGGGCTCGGACGAGGTGAGTCCTCGCCTGCCATATTGATAGCACCATCTTCTTTCTCATTCAAGCGGAGGGTATCGAGTGATATAGATTCAATCTGTAATCCGATAAGGTGATTTGGGTCAGCGCGGCCTTGTCAACGGTGATCTCAAGCCAGGCGTCATGCCCCGCGTAACCCTCCAAAGGGTCGATTCGCCTATGGGCACAATGCATAAATTGACAGAAACTCACAATTTGCAGGGTGGTTTCCAGATATTGCAACTCTTCATCCGTGAAACCAGGTTCGGGACGTTGACCACGTTTTTGCTTTGGTAAGGGAGGCAGACTCCACCAGAAGGAGGTAGGCATCCTTGTTGGCGAGATATTTTGGTCGTAGAAAGAGGGGGAAAATGGCTAGATATTTGAGGGCGGGAGATGAAGTATTGAGAGTCTCGTGGACAAGAGAGTTTACTCAACCCTCTGGTCGACGGCTCGACGCGGCCACCTTTTGGCAGAGAGGGTCGAGGGCAAAGTAGCAAGGATAAAGCAAGGCCGTCGTGGACGGCAAAAACCACCTTTGCCTGCCACCATTCACCTGTTCCATTCAACAAAAACACTGGCTTTCGTTCGTCCCAACCTGCCGCTCACATTCTACTCGTGCGAGCTCGAGACGGTTATGAGCGTCACCGATCTTCCGTCGAGCGAGATCACACGCCTATTACTGGCAGAGATCTATGGCTAGCTGACCGTATAACATCGCTCCAATCAAACACGCGATTATTCTCTAGATTTTGATGTACAGTCAAGAATTTTTAATAAATACGCTGAATTGTTTCAGTAAATGACCACCCCTTGCGAGACAAGAATCCCATGAGCCGGCGGCTGCAAGGGTATTGGTTCCTCCTCATCCATCTCGGGAAAGTCTGTGGTTCTGTTATACCACGACCTATCACCGCCAGTGGCGTCAAGCACAGACCCATGCGTCTCTATTACTCCGCCTTGGGCCGCTCTCTGTCGTCCAACTTCGGCTATAACAACTTCATCTACCACCCCGTTCCTAATGATGTCCAGAATCGGCGAACGTCCGTCCTCGAGGTCAATCCAAGGGGACTGAGCACCCTTTCTTGTGTATGTATCGATCATGCCGCCGTGATAGGCACCCGCAGTGGCACCCACACCGCCGTGGTAGTAGTGACCATAGCCCGGTTGGATTGGGCGCTCTCGCTCCCGTATCGAGGCATTCGTAAGGATTGCAGCAGCCGTAGTATAGGCAACACGTCGTAGGTTAAGATAGAATCGATTGATCAAGGTCGTAACCATCGCCCAGAGGAAAACTATCATAATGTAGACCAACGATTCGTCCATGAACGCCCACGCAGCAAAATTGATGATCCGTAGGGCAATGATCAACACACAATAGATCCCTCCATCACGGAACAGGATGAACTAGATCATTAAAGGTGAGCGTTCTGTTCACCTAGCAAAAGATAGAAGCTCACGAGCACAGGGGCAGTTTGTCTGGAGCTGCGCTGCAACGCGACGTTGTCTTGTTTGGCTTTTATCGCAGTAAGGACGAAGATTACAATGTCGAACAGGATCTGTACACCGGACAGGGAACACTCAGTCAAGTCACTGTACACATGGGAATGTTGACTTACAGGAAGCCATTGTGAATGGATCGCCGCCTTTGGGATTCTCGTCGAAAAGGAGCATACTTTGGTAAAGGGGTCATAGAACAGGGCATCTACCCATCGAAAATGAGCAAGATCACAAGAACGTAGACGATGCACTCACTGGCCATGCTTGCAGTAGCAAACCCTAATATCACAGTGATCGTGAAGTAGAGACTACAAGATATCAGTAATCTATACGCTGAATTGGATCGAACTGCATACCCAACATAGAACGCATAAAGAGGATATATGATGGATGGCCTTCTTCCCCATAAGGCTGAAACACGTAGCAAAAGCAACCAGTTGCTTGCAGCAAAGGAAATGTTGACAACCCAACTATGATTGGTCTCAGTAATCAGATGGACTACAAGACAGCTCATGGTGAGTCACTCACATTAAGAATATTATATAGACTTGGCAACTGATATGCCAAGTTAGTGACAGTCATAGAAGCCCCAATCCTGGGCACTTACAACTACAAACAGAGTCAATAGAATATTCGGCAGCAAATAGAGATGTGGCTCACACGGTCCGTGAGTGCTGGTCGTGCTTCCATAAACTCTATTGACGTCACTTGGTTTGCAAAAGCAGTGTAATACAGAGAGAGAACCCACGATAGTCTGACATGACGATAAGGCCACTAACGTTTGGTCGAGTGAGCTAGCGTCTACGATGGTAACCTTCAATTCTTACGGGACAAGATATCGAGAAAAAATCCAGATGGACTTGATTAATCCAAGCGGCATCGGCCAAATAAATTGTACTTCCTGTCGAATTGGGAGCAAGTGTTAGCCAGAGCCGGCCATGTTCAGGAGAGCTAGACGTACGTCTGGTAACGTTATGATCGTATCCCATAAAACAACCATCATTCCTACGGCTATTGTCAAAGGGTGAGCTCATGATTCCTCGCTTATGGCAGCTGGGAGGTACGCACCGCTCATATACCTCGAGGCACTGATGTTCTGCATGACATAAGGTAGCTGCAGGACCATTGTGCTTATCTCATTGAGGTCGAATCCATGATCTCTTCCCCAGCTCGCAAACTCTTGGAGGAGGTCTTGGGACATCCTAGCTGGATGGGAGAGCAACCCGGTAGACGAGCCGAAATTTGAGGAGAGTGACTATAAACACTGATTGTGATAAGAATTTTTTAAAAGGAGCTGTGGGAGACTGTGGAGATCGTCTAGACCTGCCGCGACTAGTTGCATGCGAGTATTCCCACAGGGACTCTTCCCAGTGCTCCATGACCGTCTTCTTCAATGTACTCCTTTTTTCCGTCCTAGAATCATTCGATGCTTATCAAAGCACCCGTTGGGGCTCTCGTTATGTGTTTACATTCTTGTCATTTAATGCGCCATGCAGCAATCGCACGTAGATGGGAAATCGGGCAAACTCAAACATGTCTGTATATACTTTTGAAATGATTGTATTCATTTTTGCTGCTACTCCAACCGATTAGTGCTATGCCCAGCTAGATTTTGTTGAAAGAGGGTCTCGTCGCGTGATCATCGTCGCGGTATTCCACGACCTCTTGATGGTCGTAGAGCTCGTTGAGCAGTTCCAGGAGGAGCTCTTGGTCCAGCATTTGGCTGAGAAAATGAGTGAATCAGAATTTATTGATAGGGCAGGTGAAGGAGAGTCCACGTACTTGTTCGCTTTGAGGATTCCTCACCGTCTCGTCCACGCTCAAAATCAAGCATGCTGCTTCAGCTGCACTGCTGATAGCATTGAGCTTGACGAGACTAGGCTCCCAAACGAATGCGAGCATATTGTCTCTCACACCGTCAGGGCCATCGACATCCACGCCGGCAGATATTTCTCCTTGGAAGTGTCTCATGCGCAACTTGTTCAATACGTCTGTTGAGTCTAGCCCAGCATTATCGCATATTTGCCGAGGAATAATCTCGAGTGCCTTCGCAAAGGCTCGAACGACGAACTGCAATTTGCCTTGCATCGCATTCGCCTTGTCTCGAATATGCGCGGAAAGGTCCATCTGATCGGCAAAAAGAACCAAATTGAGCCGTGTCAGTCGTCGAAACATGTGAATTGGTTATTGAACTGACCTCTATAGCGCCCCCTCCAGCGACCACGTCGCCGTTCTTTACGGCCCTCTTCACGACCATGATAGCATCGTGTAGACTTCTTTCGACCTCTTCGATGAATTGCTCTGCCCCACCTCTGAGTAGGAGTGTGCAAGTCTTGGCTTTTGGACACTCCTCGAAAACATTGAAGCGTTCTCCTCCGACTTGCCTTTCTTCAAACCTTCCACAGGTCCCGAGATGTTCCGGTTTGATATCGGAGCAAGTGCTCTGAACTGACCCACCAACGGCTTGTACCACTCTGCGCAGGTCTGGAGCAGGCACTCGACCGGCACAGAAAATATCTCTGTCTGCGAACCATTGCGTAGCCAAATCACCAATGGGTAATTTACTCAAGACGACCTTAGCTCCAGTCTTCTCGATGAGCTGCAACTTTCTATAGATGATCTCCCATTCGGCATCGACAATTGCCTGATATTCCGACACTTGCTCCACTCGAACTTCGGCATTGTCCTTTTCTGCTTTTAGTTCTAGCTCCACGTTCAAGCAGAGGATTAAGGGATCCTTGAAAGACTTGGGCTGTTGCTCTGCTCCCGCATATGTAAACGTCTTT